TCGTAATACTTCAAAGGTTTTTTTTTTTTTTTGTGGGGCCTCACATGTGTCTGTAATATCTGCCTCAGGGGCGATTCTGCACAGGAAGGATGTAAAACAAGTTTGCTGCATAATTGTATTCCCGACCTTCAGTCAGCACAGCATAGTACTGCAGCGTGTGCAGCCTTTGGCTTGCCACTTGCCCCTTGAACAGAATTTCTCGGTGCACAGTTATTCTTAGTAGAAGCAGCAATAATGGTGAAGTACTGTCAGGTGTCACAGTGACTAAAGAGGGCACTGAGATTTATAATTGGATATGCTTTTTTTTTTTTTTGCTGTTTACATTTCCTACAGAACGGACAAATACATTGTAAGACGAGGCACCGACTAAACAATTAACGTCAATACTATACTACACCTATACCACGGGCCTCCAAGCAGTTTATTACATGTATACAGGTCTGAATATACTACTATGTCCGCAGGAATATAACAAATTGCAACAACTGACTTGATGATATAGAACACCATTCGAAGAGTCTTAACCTTGTTTTACCCTATGACTTTCGTTTTTATATAGTCTCGTTCTTTGTACTTTTACGCCAGGCATTTTATAATGTAATATTATCATGTATCCAGTTTACCAGTCCTGCAGTTCAGTGGTGTGAACATATGCCCAAGTTTGCAGCCTCAAAATGGTAGCATTCATAGACAAGGCGGTTGAATGCGATCCTAAAGCAAAGAAGTGCTTAGACTTTAAGAGGGAGACTGAGGCTGCGTCCTACCACCTAAACATGAAATTCTAAGGGAACTGCAGAAAACAGCAGAAAAATGTACCATTACCAAGTTTGTTCAGCCCATACCCTCTTTCATGGCTACTCCCAGTCCCCTCCAGTCGCCCTCCTTGGCGTACTCGGACTGACTTCATCACTAGACTATTGTTATTGTTATATCATTATTACTAATACATTCGCACACCATATGCAGTATATTATTATTAACGAACTTTTGTCAATGTTCTTATATACTTGCCTTTTCATTGCCTGTGTTTCGTAGCGTCATAAGACCACCCTCAAATTTCCCATCGAATTATTTTCTCAACATCGCGAATTCCTCATTCGCATGAGTTATGATATCGTAACCGTCTCGAATGTTTACTCTACCCTTTCAAAATCTCTCCAGAATTATTCGCGTATTTGCAAGGATTGTGTGATAACGTTTTACTGTATACTCGTATTTCGACAAGTCTGGAATAAACGAAGTATCTGAATCCTTAAATTTTCCTATAAAATCAGGAAGAACTGAAAAATAAGTCGTTTTCATTCTTATCTTGTATCATTGTATACGGCTTAAATGCGAAAATACATATCAAAACGTGTGAAGTTCGTCACAAACAAATATATCGAACCGACGAAATACATGTATTTCATTGGACTGAAATCTGATTTGTGCTATTTGCATTCAGCGTTCGACGTATCCCGTCATGCTCACACGCAAATTGCGGCAGCCTGACGAGCTGCATTTTCCGCAGCGCAGTCTCCCAGAAGGACAGGGAATCGTTACCAGATTCGTATCAAAATGCGCTAGTGGAAGGGAAAATTAAATACATATCTAATAAATTTCGGTGGAAATAGTTTTGAATTACTGAACATACTTTTTCCTCTACCAAGCAAAATAGCAAACTACGTAATACCTCTAAGAGAACGTACTTAACATTTGATTCCAAAATGTGCCAAAGTCACAGACCAAAAGATGCGCAACATGCTGGGCCATATACATATACGGAACTCAGGACTCTACATTATTATTACCTCGGAGGAACTTGTAACCCCTAGAGGTCGCGGCCCTCGGGTGGCGCACGAGGAAGCTCTTCTTGTAAGGTGGTCCGGTCTGAATATGCTGAATAAAGACCCGCGGACCCCTCCAGGAGGCATGCGATAGCATAGTTGGTCGCAGGTTCGAGTCACGATGAGGCGGATTTTTTTCAATTTACCTATTCCTTCCAGCCGCACTGTGGCCTTGGGGTCGACTCAGCCTCTAACAGAAATGAGCACCAGGAATTTTCCTGGAAGTAAAGGAAGGCTAGGCGTAATGCCCAACCTCACCGCCATCTGTGAGCTAATTGTATAGAAAATGTGGGAGCCCCGACGTCTCAACCGTATGGGCCTCTACGGCCTGTTGCAGGGATAGATTTGCCTCTTTGTCCAGGGACATAAATGTGAAGGGAGGACTGACTGGGCCTTATCACCAGTCTCCGCCCATGTCTGGGTTCAGTCTCACGGGTTAACTTTTTGTTGTGCATGGCTTTCATTTGTTGTTGTTGCATAAAATCTTTGACTTACAAGTTTGGAATTTATAAGTCAGAATAAGACGCTTGATGGATGTACCAGTAAAAAAATTAAAAGGAAACCCATATGCTTTATAAATATGTCACTTTACACTCGCGGATGATGTAGTTGCTCTTAATATGAGACAGGTGGCAGTACTCGTCGATCACTTGATATTTTCATTGTTGTTCTGTAACAATATTAATCTAAAATTTATTGACGTAACTCGGATCAGTTATATTACACTTTAAATCTAGTACAAACTTTATTTTAATAATGATTACTATATTAATTCTTAATTACGTGATCCTGAGTCAAGTCTTGCATTTATAACTTGGTCGAGGTTCATCGTTATGCAGCAATGGATACGTATAGAACGTAGCTCAACTACTAATGTCATCACTGCACAAGGTACATATCGTCCGACCGTTGGACCGTCCATCCATCCATCCATCCATCCATCCATCTTTCCGTATATTCTGTTATCTGTCTATCTTTGTTGAACCTTGGCTACTTCTTCAGTTCCTCAATCTATACACAGTCAGTAGTACTCTTTGCACGGAGGATGAGCCCGTCTCAAGGCCGCTACCTGCACACAGAACAACACAGACACAAAGTAAACGGACACAGACATCCACGCCTTGAGTGGGATTCGACCCCACGATCCCAGTGTTCGAATGGTCGAAGGCGGTTCATGCCTAAAGGCCCGTCCACATTACTCGTGCTCATGCGTCAGAAGCTTACTGCTGCCGGAAAATCAGGATCTGGAGCTAACGAAGTGGACGCCCAAACTGGTTTGCATACAAAGCCTTTGCATTTCTTCACAACAGATATCAGCCCCAGATCCTGATTTTCCGGCAGCAGTAAGCTTCTGACGCATGAGCACGAGTAATGTGGACGCGCCTTTAGACCGCGCGGTCACTGTGATCGGCACGTACCATCATACACGAATGTTATTAACTGTAAAAATTAAAAATAAAGGAATTATGTTATGAAAAATTGACTGGCTCCTCTGAAGCATTAAAATAATGTGTAATGCAGAGCCTTGCTACCTGCTTGTTCCTCGCTTTGCTTATTCTTCGACCCTGAATATGGAGTTGACATGTTCCTCCCAAAAAGCGGTTGACTATCAACGGACTACGCGGCGTTATGTCCCAGAAGATATAACTCTTCATAACAACCGTCTGAGAACCTGTAATGCTACATAGAGTACATGTGTCTGAAAACAGACACAGACCTAGGTCGAAGGAGGTAACAGGAGGTCTAAAGGGGTTCATACTGAGAATGTTCATAATTATATTCTTCACCACATATTATTAAGGTAAAGCTAACCCTGTAACAGGCCGTGAAGGCCCATGGGGATGCGAGACGTCGAGGCTTCCACATTTTCTAAACAGTGGGCTCACAGATGGCGGTTAGATTGTCAGCCTTACGTGCCGGTAGCCCTTTACCCCAGGAATATTCCTGGTACTCATTTCTTTCAGAGGCTGAGGCGACCCCAGGGCCATAGTGTGTCCGGAAGGATTAGGTTAATTAACCCGCGACCTTCCTAACTTGTATCATAATGACTCAACCTACCACGCTACTGCGTGTCCCCCATCAAATATTACTAGGAAGATCAAATCGAGGAGGGTGAAATTGGCGGAGAATGTAGCACGCATAGGTGAGATGAGAAGTATATACTCGCAGAATTTTATAATGGAGGGAGACGAGCCTTCGGGGTCCATAAAAATAGTTTCCTGATCAAGTGAATGGGAGAGTAACTAATCAAGTGCTCAGATGAGGCCCTCTGTCATGAAGTCGGAGATGACATCTGAAGCTTTTGATTTTTGAAAATACTTAATTCAGTTCTCATTAATCTTACCCTTGACTCTCACCTTGACAGTATGCTCATTTTGATGAAGAGAGCAGGTGATCGGATGTGACGTACACGAGAAGTGTAGCATATGCGTGATTGTTTGCACTATGCATGATGTCGAGATATAAGCTTGCTCAAAATAAAAGCAGTTCCAAGAAGCATACCAATTGCCCATAAGCTATTTAATGACGCTTCATCAACTATATTGAACCAGGATAGCGCAGTCGGTAGCTACAGCGACTGGCTACGGGCTGGATTTCGAATCCCGGTAGGGTCAAGAATTTTCTTTACGTTGTCCAGACCGGCTCTGGGGCCCACCCAGTTTCCTGTACAATGGATACCGGGGGCTCTTTCTCCAGGGGTAAAGCAACCTGGACGTGAAGTTGACCACTCACCTGCAACTGGTGCCGAGGTCAAGAAAGTGTGAATTTATATACCCACTCTCCCGTAATTCATCATGGCGTAATGCTTACTTAGTTAAGCACAGGGATGACTTTACCTTACTTTTACATCAACTACAGTAAGAAAGTACGTATATGGTGCAGTTTGAGCTCATTGATGCCTTCTACTGATCACAATGTATTGTAAAGCACCATATAACGCACCTGAGCCTTTAATCAATAAATGGTTGTATTGTCCAACATGTTCGGCCCGTGAGAAGAAAGTAATTTCAGCGACCCTAAATGGAATTGAACACCGGTCACTGAGTCCATAGTCGATTAATAACCAAAGAAGGTAAATTAAGGGCATCAGGCATTTGCATCCAAATTCTCATTAATTTGCCCCAAAAGAGATAAAACTGAACATGTGTTCATCGTTCGTTTTGATTTGCGCAGTTGAAGAGCGTCGGCCCGAAGCTGGTGCCTTTCTTCAAGACAGTGGCAATTTACTTTGTGCTGTTCATCCCTTCGGAGACGCCGTCCCTATTTTCCATGGTCATCAAATGCTTACCCATCATCAGCCTGATCGTATTTGTGCTGCTTCACGGCATGAGTCTGGGAGACGAGTAAGTACTAGCACTATTTGGCATCAGTGTGAGCCTCATCACCGACACATTATAAGCCACTCAGCACGTCAGTCGCGTTCAGATCGGTCCTGCATCTAACCTTAATATCTGCCACGTGCCAATCCAACTAAGAATCAAATGGACCTGCAAGCTTCTGCCTAGCCTCCAGTAAATACAAGTGGAAATTTTGGATCTTTCGTTATATTAGATCAATCCAAAGAAAATAAAAATTCCCCCTCACAATTTTAATGTATTCTTTAGAAGAACAGGATTTTATGCACTGAAGATGGAGGCAGCAGGTTCCTCCGAAGCACTGGTAGTGCTCTATCAAGCTACACAGTGGCATATTGCAGGGGACAGTAATCCTCATTGTCATTACTGCGAGAACCTCAGCCAGATAGTCAAAACAAAACAAACTCCATGGCCTGTAGTCCGCAAGCGAACTAATCCGACCGAGCGACCGCCACTTGTCGGCGAAGTTAGTGCCAACTTTTGCAGATAGAGGGTGTCACGTGTCAGTGCAACCAATCCCCACAGCCGATAATCTCGGTTTTCTAGACCAGTCAGATAGTCAGTTGTTTAAATATAACCCTCTATCTGTTTGTATACTGTAATGTATTGTAATGAGAATACCAAATATTGACACTTTGTTAGAAATGCAAGTTTTGGAGTCCTTCATTCATGCACTTCATGTCCTCATACACTGTACATATGCAATTGAGTATGAAAAAGTTAAGTGAGCACAATTTTGATTCAGTTTATTAAGTGTCTTTAACATATTGGTAAATCAGAGTTAGGGTATCATGTCTGAATTAATTATGAATGATATTATTTTCATAATTTTGGTATGTTCAAACACTGTGACTATTAATATATTACACTTGAACATATTTCAAATGCAAAATTTTCTTGAATGGCTCTCTGGACTGTGGTCACTTCAAAATATTCTCATGCAGCCCCTGAATAAAAGCAATTCCTCACCCATCCACCAGAGTACAGTTAGCCTAAAGGTGATGTAACACTCTACTGCTTCTATTAATCAAATGACCCTTGCTTAATTGTTACACTATTCATTGCTAATTGCAGGTACACATTTTCACGTCGCATTCTAACAGGCCTAGTTTTATCTTGCCTGGGAGATGCATTGCTAAATTGGCCACAGTATTTCCTGCATGGCATGGCAGCATTTGGGGCGGCACAGATCATGTATACCGCAGCATTTGGTTTCAAGCCACTTAATGCAACCCTCGGGGCAGCTATCTACACATTTGGTGCAATAGGTGAGTTGTGTGCTTCGAATGGCCCAGATGTGGATGAAGATGCTAACATGATAGTTTCAGGTAAACTGACTAGCCTGAAACAAATTGTTTTGTGGCATTTTTCAATCCCTTTTGGTAAAACTGGAACAGTACCTAAAAACATGAAACAATTTCTTCATGCTTCACCTCACATTATAGCTCGGATATGAGATGTAAGAAATTTTGGTAGGAATCTCTTGTTAAGCTACCATTTTGAAGATCAATGTGATGAGGCCATACTATTAAATGCCTCTTCCAGAAATATTAGTGGCGATGTAAAGTGGATTTCATTGATTCAGGCCATGTCTAATGATGATAAATAGAATTTGATTTGTTTCATTTTGGTCCGTCACACTAACAGTTACAATTATAAAAGACAAGTCCGTCCAATGTGACTGTTTCAGTTTTCTCACTTGATGATTCACTAGCCTTACATGTTTCGATCCATTTGGATCATCTTCAGAGGCACCAAACACTTTTTTGAAACCACTATCACAACAGTTGTCATATCAAATACACATGTAATGTCCAAGTACACAATGTTCCATCTATCAGTCACAGCAGCCTTTCTGGTTACAGAAATATTTAAAGTTGTTTTAAAGTTTTAAAACTTTGTTAAAAATTAAAATACATGAACCATACGGTTCATGTCAATAACCTCTGTCATCTCACTTCAAGGTGGCTGATGTTGTGCCTCCTATGTAACTTGAGTAGGGAGATTCTGTAAATATATTATGGGTACTGTACTAATATCAGCGATCCTACTATATATATATATTAAGGTTTTGTCCTACCTTAATATTGTCCATTATGATTTCTTGGCCCTCTGTGCTGTGTATACGTGTATACTGTTCTAGTGTGTGTTGTACCGTTTAATTTATACTTCCTGTTTCTGTGACGTTGTTGTGGGCGTGTTCTGATGTTGTATTATGAGGTCGAACATGTTACGTTGGCTATTACTTTCTTTTGTGTGTTTTTGTTCTTCTATTAATTTATTGAATTTATTAGAGTGATATATGTGGAAGTCCTCTTTTATATTCATAATGTACCCATATTATATTTACTTCCTTTATTTAGTAGGTTTTCCTCCTTTTCAGTAAGTTGTATGTTAGTCATATTGTCATATTCATATTCATAATACTAAGAACCAACGCACTTATATGGTTCAATTGAACATGTAAAAACAAAAACATCATACCTAAGTACGCCAACCTAAACATAAAAGGTTCAAGTAAAGCTGTAAAGCTTACTCAGAGACAAGCAACCAAACTCAGAATAAACAACGAGTTAAAGTTCTTATATATTAAAAAACAAAATATTAACAAACAACTATATAAATTACACTTAAGAAATGCATAATATTGGCAGACCAACTGGCCTATAATAGAAAATGACGTAAATAAAAAACTAAATGAAGAATAAAAAAACATTATAATAAACTTAATAACAAAACTGATAATTTAACTAATCAACAACAAGAAAAGGCAATTAGCGAGCAAACATTTTATCCGCATTTGCCCAATATGACTAACATACAACTTACTGAAAAGGAGAAAAACCTACTAAATAAAGGAAGTAAATATAATATGGGTACATCTCCAAAAATAAACATAAAACAACTAGTCTACGAAACAGAGAACGCAGTAAGACACTTATCTACAAAAAAAACTTACAACAATTAGCGTCAAAGCAAAACATAATAAATAAAGAACAAACACACATGATCAAACAAATACAACAAAAACTAACACAACATAAAGCAACTATAGCAGACGCCGATAAAGGAAAAACATTAGTTATTATTTATAAACAAGATCTAAATGACAAAATAAATTCATTTATCAAAAATAATAACATTGCCAAATTAAAAACAGACCCCACACAAAAATTTCAAAGAACAGTACAAAACACTCTAAAACAATGTAAAATTATAATCTACCCTATAAAAAGAAAACATGTTCACCAAATGAACCCACAAGCACCTAAACTAAATGCAAAAATTAAAATACACAAACCGGAGGCCCCAATTAGACCGATAATAAACAACACTAATGCACCCACACATAAACTAGCTAAATACATACATCAAAGACTAAATGACTATCTAAAATTAAAACACGAATACAACATTATTAACACAAAATAATTTGCAGAAAACATAAGAAAACTAAAACTAAGTCCAGATCATAAACTATTAACGATGGATATTAAGGACTTCTACGTTAATATCCCAATCAACGACACAATTCACGTAATCAATAAACTACTCAAAGACAATCACACAGATGAAAGGATTATAAAAGAAATTATGTCCATACTTAAAATAATACTAAAACAAAACTATTTTCAATATAACGAAAAATATTACAAACCAAGAACAGGCGTAGCCATGGGCGCCCCCCCCCCCTATCAAGTACAATGGCAGAAATCTTCTTACAAAACATGGAACAAAGCAGAATAAAACATCTGCTGGAAGACGGGAAAATTACATACTATAACAGATACATAGATGACATCTTCATAATATATAATCAAACAAAAATACCCCCCAGTGCATCCTCGAACATTTCAACAAACAACATAAAAACCTGCAATTCACAATAAATAAAGAAACAAATAACAAAATACCTTACCTGGACCTAAACGTAATTAATAAACAGGGACAAATAGAAATGGAAATATACAGAAAACCCACAATGACAGACATAACAATAAATAATAAATCATGCCACCCTAAAGAACAAAAATTGGCAGCATATAAAAACTGGATACACAGACTTCTTACACTACCACTTGAAGAAAATGCTAAAAATAAAGAATTAAATACTATTATGAATATAGCACTAAATAACGGATATAAAAAGCAAGACATCACACATATATAACAAACTTAAGCATAAGATGGATAACCCAGATAAAAAAGACGAAAAAGAAGAAACATGGGTCACTTATACATATACAGAAAATTACATATGAAAAATCACAAGACTGTTCAAAAACACTAATACAAAGATAGCATTCAAAACAACCCACACAATAGGTAAACTAACAAATGAAAAACGGGAAGTAAACCCATACGAACAAAGTGGAATATACAAAATAACATGCCAAAGTTGCCAAAAAAAAAAAATATATATATATAGGCCAAACTGGCAGAAACATAACAACAAGATACAAAGAACACATAAGAAATATAAGACTAAACAAGGACGAATCAGCATTCGCTCAACACATACTAAATAAACACCATCAGTATGGGCCAATGACAGCAATCATGGAAATGATTGAAAAAGCCAAAAAAGGAAACATTATGAATATAAAAGAGGACTTCCACATATATCACTCTAATAAGTTCAATAAATTAATAGAAGAACAAAAACACACAAAAGAAAGTAATAGCCAATGTAACATGTTCGACCTCATAATACAACATCAGAATACGCCCACAACAACGTCACAGATATAGGAAGTATAAATAAAACGGCACAACACACACTAGAACAGTATACATGTATACACAGCACAGAGGGCCAAGAAATCATAATGGACAATATTAAGGTAGGACAAAACCTTTATATATATATATAGTAGGATCGCTGATATTAGTACAGTACCCATAATATATTTACAGAATCTCCCTACTCAAGTTACATAGGAGGCACAACATCAGCCACCTTGAAGAGAGATGACAGAGGTTATTGACATGAACCGTATGGTTTATGAATTTTAATTTTTAAGAAAGTTTTTAAAACTTTAAAAGAACTTTAAATATTTATATAACCAGAAAGGCTGCTGTGACTGATAGATGGAACATTGTGTACTTGGACATTACATGTGTATTTGATTGACAACTGTTGTGATAGTGGTTTCAAAAAAGTGTTTGGTGCCTCTGAAGATGATCCAAATGGATCGAAACATGTAAGGCTAGTGAATCATCAAGTGAGATAACTGAAATAGTCACATTGGACAGACTTGCCTTTTATAATTGTATGATAAATAGAATTTGAAAAGTATGTAAGCACTGTTCAACTAGTGCCAAGGTCTAGAAAACGTGGATTTATACATCCACTCCCCCATACGCCTTCATGGCATAGTGCTTAATTAGTTAAGCACAGGGACAGCTTTACTTTTTTATGTTAGCACTGAGTGACTGTTCTTAAACTAAACCTGAACAAAAAGTAACTGTAACTAACCAAGTACAGTATGTGCCAAAAATACAGTACTGAAATCAAAAGATATCCTGTTGATACCACTGTCTATTCATGTGAAGGCCCCTTGCACAACAGAACTTTCTCAAATCCTGAAGAAATGGTCCGATCACCATGTCCCTGTAGCGTTCTTGGGTGACGGTAAGAGCATTGCCTTCCTCATCCTCCATGAAATAGGGGCCTAATGTACCGTGTGTTGACTGCACACCATAGCGTCACACGTGTACTATGTAGCAGTTTCTGGGCGATAACATCTGACTGCTCAAAACCAAGGAAGCGAGTTGTCTGGCGACCTCTTCCGTATGAATGGAAATAATACTCAACAATGAATACTTTTTCCTCTGTCGAGAGACCCATTTCCAACAAAAACTGCACAGCAGTTGGGAACACGTACAGCTGGAGCTATGCCCCGTTGACAAATGCACATGCACGTTTGAGATGCGCAAGTTTCAGTACTGCATGTTTTGGTGTATTCTGTATAACCACACATGACAATGCTTCCCAGTAGCCATGTGGAAGCTCGACTGAAACCAGTTGTCTTCTTTTAGTGATCTCACAATTTTGCCGCGGAACATTCATATGGAGACAGTTCCAGGTTGGCAAATACTTTAATAGTCAGTCTGGACTATTACCATCTGTGAAATCCCTAATATGGCCAGCACTTTGAAAAAGTTTTCCAACCTGCTGCTTTATTTGCTAATCCTGCTTCTAATGTGTCAGTTATTGATTAAAAAATGCTCTGTGGAATTAGACATCACATGCAGACTTTTATGC